TACATACATACATACACACACATGTATATAAATATGCATAAATGATATACTCAATATAGTCTTGTATGTATGTGTGTTTGTCTATCTATATATATCTTATCTATCTGTTTGGATCAGTGAGTGTGTGTGTCTGCCTTTCTGTACATGTGATTGTATAGGTGTGTATATATTTGTAATTACAGTATATATACTTCTTTCTGAATAATATTATTTCTTTTCTTGCCTTCATTAACTAAGGGTGTTTTTTCTGAATAGTGGGAAATTAGTGTTTATGTCATGGTGGTGGTGTGTGGTGCTTACAGGTGGTAGTGTTAGTGCTGAGGAGCAACAAGGTGGAAGTGGTGCTGAGTCTGCCTCTGCACTAGCTGTGGGAGCAAGTGTAGCTGCTTCTGCTACTGCTCCATCATCTGTAAGTGGAACAGTCACATCTGGTGCAGCAGGCATACAGGCAACAGCTGTGGGAGGATCTGCTGCTGCATCAGTGGTTGGATCAGGCACCCCTTCAACACCAGTAAACCTCCCAGCAGTGTTGCAGGACCGACCCCACTCAGGCCGTGGCCGTGTGCCCCCTCCAGTACCCCCGCGATCGCCAAGGGGTGGCGGCACTGGCCAACCATCCTCTGCCTCCTCTTCATTCTCATTAACTCGAGGTGGAGTTGCTTACCTCACTATGCCCCCAAGTCCTCGTTTTGCAGGAGGCAGCCCTCGTTTTTCGCATCTGTGTAGTCCTAGTATTGGCATGACTGGATATAACATCTGGCATGCTGAGAGTATGCGTAGACTAAATCAAGAATGCATGATGCCAATGCTAACTGTGCAACCAAGTGAGCGACAGCACTATGTTTGGCAACTGCCAACAGAAGATGTTATAGCTTTATCTCCCTTACAATCAGGAGTTGTCACACCAGACACCACTCCTCAAAAGCGAAGTCGTCGAAAAAATGCTGTGAGAGAAGTTTGGGATGTCTTAAAGTCTTCCTCTCGGTCTGGCACACCAACAGATACTCCCTCCCATCATGTTATTCATTCCCTTGATGAAAATGATGGCCATACATCCGCACATCAAAGGCATCTTAACACATTACGGCCTGCTTGCTTATCTCGCCAGTCGTCCATTGAGCATAGTAATGGAGAATTTGTTCTGCCTGATACTCATATTACATCAGATGGTAATACACCAATGTCACAGACTCTGTCAAAAGTGCAAGTGAATTGCCAAAGTAGAAACCATAATCTTGAAAACCATTATTCTAAAACAGATGTACAAAGTCTGAATAAACCACTGCAGACTCTTGAATACCAGAACAAGCCAGGTTATCCTCAGATTCATGGACAACTAAGTGCCACTGAAAGGGAGATTCTTAACAAACCTTTGTATAGTGGGAAATCTTCAGGCACTACTGTTAGTGGGGCAATACCTAAGTCACCATCTCAGAATATTAAGACTGGATATGAGACTAGTGCCAGTTATCAAGATTCAATGTCAAAAGATTTTGTGTTAGGTAGAAAACGTTGGGGTGATGCCCAGGATTTTGTTCCCTATAGTGATTTTTTGCATGAACCTAGATTACCACAAAGTGATTTCAAACCCCAGACAAGAAAATCCTTTGCTGGAACAGAAACTTTAAAGTTGCATGAATCTGATCCTAAAAGAAAGTCCATGTCAGACAGACCTTCAGTTATTGATGAAGCATACATTGAGCATACACTTGCAAGGTACTTGGCAAGATCAAGATCACCATCACCTTACAGAGAAACACAATCAAAGTTGTCCTATGGAAATTCCCAGTCTCCCTCACAATATGGAGGTTCCCAATCTCCATCACCCTATTCAGGCTCTCCCACTCTTTTGGGACACCCTACAACTGTATCTGATGCAGAACTGATGGCTTATAAGTCTACCTTGAGTCCAGGACTCTCATCCTTCTCACGAAATATGTCCTCCCCAGGATTGTTGGAAAACACTCACAGAACCTATAGAAAAGATTCTGAAGAACAACTACCACCCTCAAGCTCATTCATACAAAGAACATTTTACTCTGAAGTGTAGTTCTAAATGCTATTTTGATTCACTGCATGCATTTTATGTACACTAGGGAGTTGCTGACACTAAGTTCGCATTAGCTTTCTGTGCTGTTGCATGAGCTTTTTCATCTTCCCTTCTTCCAGGTTTTATAGCTGAATTTATGTATTGAATAAAAGACGTGTGTTACATTTGCTATTTATGGTATTTTGTTGTGTGAATTGACCCATGCATTATACTGTTGAATCACTTGTATCTTAGTGTTCTTTTACATGGTATCTTTGAAGTGTGCTTGTGATTGATTACCTTGTATTGTAAAATGATGTAGGATTGTATAGAAGGATGATTTATGTGTAAATTGATGATGATGATATTAAATTCAGCTTTTTATATTAGTAAAGTATAAAATCAACTTTGATTTACAAAAGGTTGATGTAAAGTATCAACTGCAAATATTGGTACTGCAATGAACTTACATATTAAATTTTGAACTACCACAGCTTTTGCATGCAGCTTCAAGTTAATTCGTAGTATTTAGTACCCTAATAATGTCTCCCTGATATGTAGGTAGTGGCCGCGGTGTAGTGACTGTAAGCGCAGGAGGGGCTGGAGCAGCTCACCCCCCAGTAGGCTCCCACCCTCCACCTCCAGCCTCAGGTGTTGGGGCAACAGGCAGCACCGTTGTGACCACGTCCTCTCCACGAGTACAAGTACGGTCATCCCACACGCACGTTACGACAGTAGCCATCCAGGAGGACAGAACTGATGTTGTAAGGTGAGACTTTTTTTTTCTAATAATAGTAGCTAGATGATGTTGAATTTCTATATATTCTCCTTGTTATGGTAACAATTTCAGGTTGCAAAAAGATTTTCAGGTTTCTGAAAAAGTAAGTGTAACTGTTTAAACTTTTATAAGTTTAATTAAGCAATACTCTGATGTGCTGTTATTACTGTTATAATACATAAATATATATA